TTTTCTGCATTCGTTTTTTCTTTTTTTTTTTCGTTCTTTCATGTTCTCTATCTCAATTTTTAGAGCGCACTCTCCTTATTCCAACATTCTTTCTCCTTGTTCACTCGACGAGAAGCCCAGAACGGCACACTGCAGAAGCAGTTGCGCTTGTACGCTGCTTATTCGATCCAGCTTTTGAGGCATCTTCAGCTGCTAACCGAGAACGTAAGATATTCTATATTTATTCATAAGTTGTACCAAAAGAAACTCCAATACGCCAATAGCGCTATCTATAAGAATTGCCTTACTTTTCTAGTTTTCTGTGATTTTTCCATTTTTTCCCTGTATCTGGTGTAATTTTTTTTCGCACTAATACTGTTCGTGCGAGATTGGCGGAAAATCTTTGCGATAGAAATTGAACTTGATGGGTGCTTGTATAATCTTTGCAAGCTTGGTGGCAATTCTTGTACTTTTCTTGATCACCCATTATATAATTCCAGTGCGTTGGCAAAAATCTGGCTGGACTTGCTGCAACACTAGCCGAGGTGAGTACTGGAGAGCCAGGAAATCTTCTCTTCATACACCTTTTGCAAAGAGGAGCCTTCCATGTGATGATCAAGCAAAACCCGGTGAGTCACGTTTTTTACTTTGCTTTTAATTTCTCACTTAAACTTCCATTTCCTTTGAGTCTTTTTAAACCTCATAACAGTCCTCTGACATTTTCAGGACAAGAATAAGCTGAGGCTCAAAATGGTCACTATCTTGGCCAATCTTTTCACGAGGGAACGTCTGCCTCATTGGTTCCAAATGGATGACAAGAATAGCTATCCTGCTGAAGCCAAAAATCTGGTGATTTCTTTTTTTTTTCACTGAAGTAATCACTGAGTCGGTAGAAACCGCCGAGTTATGTGGAGGTTCACATGAAGGATCCGCGCAAAGCTTCAATGCGAACTTGAATGCCGTATGTTCGGCGCATACTGGGTATGACTGGCACATTTGTTTTCATCTGTGCAAATCATGCTCGGTGATGGACAGATACCATTTCCTTCTCGAGCAAAAAAGAACTGGTCATCTATGCTGATTTCGTTTTGAGTGAACATGTAGTTGTTCAAATTAGTAATTTAGAAGACAAGTCTGTTATTACCGTAATAACTCTGGATACATAAACTCTCCCCTTGATTTTCTGTCACATGT